CTTTGCATAGTCAATAAAACACAAGTAAACATCTTTCTGGTATTCCCTTCCTTGAGCCAAGATCCATCTGACAACAGCTATGATATCCCTTGTTCCACGTCCTTATCTTTGTATTTTTATGCATAACTGTTACGTCTGATGCCTGTTTGTAGTCTATTGTTGTTGAAGTCTATTAGGTGTTATTAATGCTGGGTTTTGAAGATTAAGTTTATCAGCTATTCCACAGTAATAAGACAAGGCAACGTACTTTTGTAAAAATTTTGTAAAAATTTAAATTGCTTGGGAATCACAATGGCGGTCAGCTTGAGCCGGAATCGACTCAAAGACAGATTTGGTTTCATTTTCTTTTCCTTCAGTTTCACAATTCAAAGGCACCAAGTTTTCTTCTCTTTTCCTTATTATATAGTTCAGCTATCCACACGCGGATGAGGCGAAGCAAAGTACCAGGGCTTGCCTTAGCCTCATTTCTGCCTAGCAAATGACATCTTGGCTCTTTTGCACTTTAAAGAGCTCTTTTGTAGCGGATTTGCCCGGTACAAAACGTCCTACGTCCTTTGATTTCTTCATGGCTGCTTCCGTAGGCGTTGATTGTGGAGCCAAGTTAATGAAATCCTTGATAACGTCAATATTTTTACCATGATTGTGTTTAGTGGTGCAGTTGTGAGGGTTTTAACTTTCTTTTTGTTGAGGTGTAAGAAGCCCTGGTCGTGTAGTGCCTAAGGCATTTGACTGCTAACCAGAGGCTTGGTGGTTCAAAACCATCAGCTGATTGCTGCAGGAAGATGGGGCAATCTACTTTCTTAAAGATTTGTGGCCTTGGAAACCGGGTAGGAGCTGGAATCTACTGGAGGGCGGTGGGTTTGGTTTTGGTTCTGGTTTTGTTGTTGTTGTTATGTGCCGTCGAGTCGGCCCCGACTCATAGAGACCCCTCCTTGGGTTTCCGAGGCAGTATCACTACGGAAGTAGGATTGCCCAACCTTCCTTCCGAGGAGTGGCTGGTCTGGTTTTGTATTGAGATGCAATCCGTACTGAAGGCTGTAGTATTTGATCTTCGTTGGGAAGTGCTCCAATCCATGTGCAATCTACTCCCATAGTGACAATGCCTCGGAAACCCAAGGAGGGGTCACTGTGATCCGACTCAAGGCAGTGAGTTTGAGGTGTGAGCAGTTTATAACTGGTGTGTGCAAGCTTACATTTTTAAGTTTCACCACTTCGTGTGGTGAAGTGTTTGTGCTGAGTTCCCTGTTGTGTATGTATTGTTTGTCCTTGAAAATTATTGAGTCTACTGTTTTACTTATGTCTCCTGTCTCTCCCAAACCCAAGCCCACTGCCATCAAGTTCATTCTGATTCATAGAAATCATCCTAAGGACAGGTAAAGCAATGTTTCTCTGTGTGTTAATCTTCAGAATTTATATGATAGCAATCTCATACATTATTTTTCCTTTTATGATTATTCAGCATAATGTCTTCCACAGCATCCATGTTGTGAGATATTTCTTGCATCCATCGTTACTCTTTGAACATTGAGTAGTGAAATGTCACATTCTTAATGACATGATTTCAAACAGCAAAGTTTGATTGTATATAATTTTAGAGAACAAAATTTATCGGTAATTAGTCAGTAGTCAGTGACAAAAAGAGTTGTTATGGTATTTTACCCAAACCAAATGCACTGCCATCAAGTCATTCCAACCCAGAGTGACCCTACAGGACAGAGTAGAACTCCCTCATAAAGTGTCCAAGGCTGTAAATCTTTACAGAAGCTGTGAGGCTGAGGCCGAAGTCCTAATAGCCTCCAGGGACATCTTTAACCAGAAACCTTTTAGTGCAAGGGATTCTAACAAGTCTTTTAATGTTGAGGATTCTAAACACTCCCTAGGGCCTTTATCTACCCTCGGGTCTCAGCAGGTATCAGAGATTTCCTTCAGATTCAGTCCTCCGGAATCAGCGCATATCAGAGATTTGGGCGGCTCCTGAAGTCTTTCACTCTGCATATAATTCCCTAAGTAGACTTTGGAGCCGGAGGTTCCAACACGTCCCCCCAAACCCCTTAGCAACAACCAATCATCTGTACCCCTTTGCCCTGCTGGTGCTACTCCACCCCCAATTTTTCTATAAAAATGTGATAATGAAGGAGCACGGGGTCTTTTGCTAAGGCCGCTACGTTGGCAAAGAGCAAGGACCCTAGCTTGAGCTAGCAAATAAACTTTCCTTTTGTTTTTGCATTGTCGTGTGTTGGCAAATTCCTCGCACCGAACAACTCCTTCACAACCTGGGCACAACAAAGCCAAATGGATCATCTTTCTCCTGTAGAGAAACTCCTGTGGGTTTGAACCGCTGACATTTTGGTTCACAGCTGAATGCTTTAACCACTGTGGCACCAGAGCTCCTTAAGACATTTTACAGCAGCAGCTTATGTTTGAGAATATTGAAATAAAAACAAGAGTCCTCTAAACATTTTTTTTCTTATTTATTGTGATTTGAGTGTGTTCTGGTT